CAAGTCCCATACCGTTGCATCGTGGAGTGAGACAAGGGGACGTTATTTCCCCGAAATTGTTCACTAATGCAATGGAGGATATGTTCAAGACGCTGAACTGGAAACGACATGGCATCAACATAAATGGCGAACGCATCTCTCACTTGCGATTTGCAGACGACATCGTCATCATGGCAGAAACCCTGCAGGACCTACAGCAGATGCTGAATGATCTGGCCGACTCTTCTATACGCATCGGCCTACGGATGAACTTGGATAAAACCAAGGTCATGTTCAATGAACATGTTCTACCGGAACCGATTGCAATACACGGTGCCGTTCTCGAAGTTGTTCAAAAATATGTATACCTCGGGCAGACATTGCAGTTAGGTAGAAACAACTTTGAGGACGAGGTGAATAGAAGAGTTCGGCTAGGTTGGGCAGCGTTTGGGAAGCTACGTCAAGTCCTGACATCGTCGATCCCACAGTGCCTAAAGACGAAAGTCTTCAATCAGTGCGTCCTACCTGTGATGACATACGGAGCCGAGACGTGGACACTGACGGCACGGTTGATCCACAGGTTCAAAGTCGCTCAACGCGCTATGGAAAGGGCTATGCTCGGCGTTTCTCTGAAAGATCGCATCAGAAATGAGGTAATCCGACAGAGAACCAGAGTTATCGACATAGCCCACCGGATTAGCAAGTTGAAGTGGCAGTGGGCTGGCCATATTTGCCGAAGAACCGATAACCGTTGGGGTAGACGAGTTCTGGAGTGGAGACCGCGTCTAGGCAAACGTAGTGTAGGACGTCCTCAGGCACGATGGAGTGACGATTTGCGCAAGGTGGCTGGCAGGAGCTGGATGCGAGTAGCCCAAGATCGATCTGAGTGGCGGGCATTTGGAGAGGCCTATGTCCAGCAGTGGACTATGATAGGCTGTTGATGATGATGATGATGAATAAAAATAAAAATTATAACAATAATTGCTAATTCTTCTTTCAAATGTTTAATACTTGTAAAAGTATTCATTTGATATTGTGGGTTACCTACAATGCTAAGAGATGGCGCTGCCTTGCAGCTTAAGAATGGCTAGAAGAATTTCGACGCGGCCGTCAGGGCCGCGGTAGCATAATTGGTCAGTGCATTCGCCCGGATTGCGAAGGGTGTGGGTTCGAGTGCCGTCCGCTGCCTGGTCCGCGTGGGTTTTTTTTTCTAGTAAAACTTTGCTTTAGATTAACATATCTTTTATGCAATTTCTATTAACCGTTTAAAGAAGTTGAACCAATTAATGCCAGTTAAAATTGTTATTGTTTCATAATTGCACAATTATTGAGTTAACCTGGATATACTTATATTTTGGCGAAAAAAAGGCTTTTACGGAAATATAACCTTAAGCGTTTTCTAAACTGGCTAGTCAAGTTTCTTAGGTAACTCAAAATTCATGGTGTATAATAATGTACATTACAGTAATTATTCATAATCATCATCATCAGCCTATTAACGTCCCCACTGCTGGGGCACAGGCCTTCCCTATGGATGGAATAGGGAGATTGGGCCATGACCCACAACGCGGGCCCAGTGCGGGTTGGCGGGTACTAACGATTGCTGATGCAGCCTGGACCAACGGCTTACCGTGCCTTCCGAAGCACGGAGGAACTCGAGATAGACGATTTTTGGTCACCCATCCAATGACCGACCACTGCGAAAATTGCTTAACTTCAACGATAAGCAGCCGAACGCGCTAGCCACCTGCGCCATCGAGCTCCTCATAATATATTTCTATATTCTAGCCTTATTCTAGCTTACAGTTAATCAAGTGATTCTTTGATAAATTAGACTATACACGGGATTGACAAACATATAATTGTAAGGAACATCAATAAGATACTCTTGGACGAAGTTAATACTCAGTGTTGTGGTTTTAAATTGTTTTAAAATAATACTATTAAAACGCCAACCCATGCGAGCAGTTAGCCAAACTTGTGGCCCAAATATAAAATAGGGACCTGTACTTTGACCACACATATAAACTAACTAGCGGCCCGCCCTCGCTTCGCTTCGGTGTAGAGCTGAAGTGTAGACTACAGTTTTTGGTCTCAGGCTTGTATTATACACAATGACATTCATCTATGATTCTTACTATATACCTGCATGCAAAGTCTCAGCCCGATCGTTTTAAAATTGACAAAGTTTAATACAAACTATCATTCCCTATTTTATCCCCTTGGGGGTAGAATTGATCAAAATCCTTTCTTAGCGGATGCCTACGTGATAACATCTACCTGCATGCCAAATTTCAGCCCGATCCGTCCAGTGGTTTGGGCTGTGCGTTGATAGATCACTATGTCAGTCAGTCACCTTTGAGTTTTATATATATAGATTTCGATTAATTAACTGTAAGTAATCCGCACTCGGCCCGTGTGTTGGGTCATGACCCAATCTCCATATTCCATCCATAGGGAAGGTCTGTGCCCCAGCAGTGGGGACATTAATATGATGATTATGATGACGAAAATGTATAAAAAGGATTTACTGATATTGAAGTCATAGACGTTGTTTAGTGTCCCAAAAAGGAGGTGGAACTAACTAAAGAATTAAACACCTGTTCCAATTTTAAATAGCGAGAGAGCGTTTATTGCTTTTACATAACATACTTATATTTCAAACAAAACAAAATGGTAACGTGATTCAGTGAACTAATCCTGCCATCTAGCGTACAAAAAGTTAAGTAATTCTAAACAGACGTAAAACCGATTTTATGGAAACTTCGCTTTTTATGATAGTAAATTGGGATTTTGATAAAGGTCATAAAGGTCCCTTTGTTTGAAATATAAAAGTTGAAGGGGTTTCTTGAAGGGGTAAAGAGTTGTATGAAGAGTCAAGTATTGTTTACTAGTGACCCGCCCTCGCTTCCTTTCTATGTAGAGTATAGGTTTTATTATTGGGCTTCTATTATACACTTGAAACTTCTGAGAAAAATTATGAAATGACATGAAATAAAATTTGTTTGCGTTAATTGTGGTTACAATGATGTTTTTAAACGATTGACGACCTCCGTGGTCGAGTAGTTTGTACGCCGGGTTTCATGGTGTCGCCGACTCGAGAGGTCCCGGGTTCAAATCCCGGTGGGAACAGATGTTTGTGTGATGAATACGAGCATTTGTACTCCAGTCATGGATGTTTAGTATGTATTTCTATAAAAAAATATACTTATATATGTACAGTTTATGTATTCTATACGTTACCCTAGTATCCCATAACACAAGCCTTATAGTGCTTACTTTGGGACTAGGCTAATTGGTGTGAGTGTTGGAAATATTTATAAAAAAAAAAAAAGATTAGGTCGGATCGCACAATTAGCCATTTCCAGCATTCAAAAATTAATTGAAATATAGATTTAAATTTATGTTATGACTTTTTTGTACTTAGAACATGTCTCTTAGTCTGTGTAAAATACTTATTTGCAAAATAAAAAATCTAATACATTGATAAAATTAAATGTCAAAGAAAATCACATCATGTCATATCTCATATTCAGTAGGTACAATATACGTTAATTTCATGCAAGTCAACAACTTCATTTTACCATTTGAATTGATTCACATAGCCTTAATTAATAATTTCATGGAGAAAAATTATGTAACTGCAGGAAAAGTTCATGAGAATCTGTTCTGAAGCTTTTTGAAAATATCGCTATAAACAGAAATACACACGCGTACGAAATACACTAGCCTGCAAAATTAGGTATCACAATTTTTTATTTTTTTCCCTTATCTGTAGAATTTTTAAAATAAAAATGCGTTATAGCTTTTTGTTTATTTTCTTCGAAACTTTATTACAATATTTTCACTCTTTTTCGAGTACTATTTATTTCGAAATTCTATTTTGTATACTTAATAAAAAGTTATTGCAATTTTAATACTATGTTAATTGTTTTGCAAACGATGTAGTCAGTGATACGAAGTTAAAAAATAACATAATACTTGAAAACTGGAAATAATAACGTGGAAATATAAAAATATTTTTATTTTTACCCGGAAGTTGTATTTTTGAATAAAATTACCCAAAAAAGTAAAAAGAAATACCCAAAAAGTAAGTGTACTAAAAATATTTATTTTTCCAGGTTTTTGTTTTGTACCCCACAACAAAGAATTGTTGTTGGGTAAATTACAAATCGTGTATAAATTTACCCAAAAGTAAAAAAGTAAGCGCCGATAGCTTCTCCATTTGAAACACACTTGGTAGTTAATAAAATTTCAAGTTACAACTAATACACAATGATTGCATAAATAGAAAAAGTTCCGCTTCAGTAACAAATTCTGCAAAGTGTTTTTCTCTCATTTAGAAAGAAAACAAAGATTCCATCCCTTCACTTTTGCAGATCAATTGAAGAAATCAGAACAAACAGAATCTCGAACTCAGGAGAATAGTTAAAAATAGGTTAAGTCACTTACCTGCACAATGCGATGTTCAGTGGGTACTGAAGTGAAACTGAGTCATTTAAACACTTTTGTCGTATTTAATAAACCTATTTGGACTTAATGTCTAGACGAATCAATAACGCCGATATCATTAATTTTTTGTGTAAACAATGCACCGTGTCACCTCGAGCGGAGACATGTGCGTCTATTGTGCACCGATGCTTGTGACACAACGTAGGCACATGTCCTAAGCGCACACAGATTTCACCATTACCAAGCGAAGTGAGTGCGTCCTACGCACGTCAACCATTTCCACCGAATCGTGCGCTTCGAGATAACACTCCGCGCGTCGGCCGATCAAATCGCATTTATAAATCGAACTTTTCAAATTATCATTCCAGTCCAAATTGTTTTATTCATTCGGGAGTCATGACCGGTGTATGTGTTCATATCGTTGTAACACTATCATATCATTTTTAGGAAACCGAAGTTCACAGAAAATAATGGCCTTTGCCGCGAGTCGCTAATTCAAATTTCAAAGTTAGTTAGTAGCTGCTTAAATTTTGGTATTCGAACTGTCGAAAATCAGGGCGGTAACAGACCTTGTTTGGGTTGGGGCGGCGGCGCTTCCTCCTTGGGATCGTAGAAAGTCAGTGTGAATTCGTCGTTCAGAGGAGTTGCGTGCACGCACGAGCCGCGCGGACGGCCGCTCCACACGTCCATAGTCCGACCATGCCGGGAGCCAAACACGTCCGTCAACCACCGCCGTTGGTCGAGCACTGAGCTTTCGTGCTTGCGCAGGCGCAGGCGCTGGCGCGAGACTCACAACACCACTTGCAACGACTGCCTTCGCCAACTACGCTTTTTACAATCGCGAAAGCACACACAAAAGAACTTAAGCTGAAATTATATTCATTTCGCACAAAAACAGTTTCATTTCAATGGACCGCTGGAGTAGGGAGGGTTTACACTATCGCCGATTACTTACCTGTATTCTCAAATAACAATGTGCCGTACAAATATTTCATTCTAAATCACGGACTTATGGCATAATTTCATTTGATTCGCACCAAAAAACAACTTCGTTTTATTGTGAAATGAGTGAAATAAGCAGCAGCATGAGAAGGGTGTTAACACTACACAAAATTACCTAGGGTACCTGTTTTCAAATAACAACACAATATAGGTTGTAAAAATATTTCACTCTAAATCGAATAACATTTCTGAAATAGAAACAAAGATTGATTGTTTCATTTACCGAATTCGAATATAAAATGAGGTAATTCTATATCGACGTGTTCGGCGATGATTCGGTTGTGAACTGGTTTTCGAAATTAATATACAAATTTTATATGAAAACTAGCGGCCCGCCCTCGCTTAGTGTCGGTGTAGAGCTGAAGTGTAGACTACAGTTTTTGTTCTCAGGCTTGTATTATACACAATGACATTCATCTATGATTCTTCTTATACCTGCATGCAAAGTCTCAGCCCGATCGGTTTAAAATTGACAAAGTTTCATACAAACTTTCATTCCCTATTTTATCCCCTTGGGGGTAGAATTGATCAAAATTCTTTCTTAGCGGATGCCTACGTCATAACATGCCAAATTTCAGCCCGATCCGTCTAGTGGTTTGGGCTGTGCGTTGATAGATCACTATGTCAGTCAGTCACCTTTGAGTTATATATATATATTTATATAGATTTTATGCTCCCGAGGTACACCCATATTCACCAAGATAGGTGATTATTCAGACGATGGGACCCTGGAGAAATTAAGGGAACTCTTCAAACATTGTAGACACGTGTACAGTAAATTGGGTATTTTTTATACTAACTTGTCTATTTACACTCACAAAGTACCATCTGGTCAAGTAGAATTGATAGCGACCGGAACTATTCAATGATAAGTATATCAAGAATTGCCACACGATTACTTTTTAATGGCTGCGTTCCGCAAAATTTCATTGAAAAACATAAAATTATCATCACTGTTATTAGCAGGATTGCTACCATAGAACACAGAAAGGGCTTAGAAGGGTGATCATAGACCGTTAGTACGGGAACCGACCTCCCCCACTACACTTCTTTCTAATAGATAAAAGCCAATCAAACGACGCGACATCATACAATCGAACCAATCTAACAGCCGAGAGCAATGACGAAATCAGAACCAAGTTTTGGTTTAGGAGCATTTGCTCACACATAACTGTGGCGCGTCTGCCCCGCCCATAAGGTCCTTCTAATCTCTTTCTGTATTCTGCGATTGCTACCGCGTACCTTGTTTTTATTGAGTCTCCGATATTTCATCACTGTTGAAGGCGCCATGATCACATGCGCTTGCAACAGTGCCGAAATATAGTGACTCACAAAACAAGAAGGTACAAGGTTCAATCCCGCTAATAACTGTAAAAACCATGTGGCCATGAAATTTTAAAACAATGTTTAAAAGGATAAAAAAAAAACTAATTTACATTTTCAGCCTGATTGTAGAGGTCAGAGTCAATTTGAGTGGGAAATCAGATATGTCCTATCTGTTAAGAGCCGCTGCCGTACTGATCGGCGCGTAGGTAATAGTATTTGCACTAGTATATATTGCATTTTACGGGTGATGTTTCAAGTCTTATAAAGTAATTATTAATGAATTAATCATAAAAACAAACACATATTTCAATAGTTCAATGATGATAGATTAGTTTTATGAAAGTTTTTGATAATAATTCTATTTAATTCAATATCAAAATACTAGGTAAACCTGCATTATTTTTTGTGAAAACTTAAGGAGGTTAGATGTTTTTTTTTGATAATGAATGAGATGGAAAATCAAAATTCTTTTACATTATGTTTCAACAAAAATATATTTCTGATGTCGTAGTAATTAATTTGATCTAATTTATTGAACATTATTGAGAGATTGAGGCGTTTGAAGTTGTGCGTATTATCGTTTTTACCGTAAACTAGCTACAGAACGATCAGTAGGTACAAAAAAAAGGAAAATAGTATTTGCAAATATTATACATTAACTTACAATAGGAAGAATAAATCTACTGTTTACTTCTATTGGAAATAGTCAAAATCTTTTCTAAGGGGGTAAACGAGGCGCTCAAACATTACGATTGTTTGCAAAATGTGTGACAGGTGTCTTAAAGAGGTATCTCCACAGAACGCAGAAAGAGGTATATTTATTAGTTTAACGATTTATTTTCATCATCATTACTAGGCTATTAGCTTAGATTAAAACAAAAAGGGTAGATACGGCACTAGATACAGTCCTGACAAACCTTGTGAAACCTGTTTATCATACCATGTTCAATAACAGGCACTGGGTATTCCAACAAGATTCGGCGCCAGCTCATAGAGCGAAGAGTACACAAGACTGAGAAAATCTGAGAGAGCAAACCATCAATTTAAATGATGTTTATATCATCAAAGTCAAACATTTACACTATTCTCAGTGAATCAACAAAATAATATGTTTCTTTTTGAGTCTGTTATGTAATAGCCTCACAAAAGTGATTCGCATGAATTGTGGTCCACGACCCTAATCGCTTTAGTCACAACTTGACATGCAAACGACGTACATGTGAACGCCAAAAAGAAATATTGCTAATATTTTGTGTTTATATGATAAAACAATGCCTAAATGTGTTTTTAAAAAGTGCTCAAATTGCTCAAGAACTAAAAATAAAACCCACGGCAACACTTTTCATTCGTAAGTACTATAAAATATATTTTTTCATAAAAAATGCTGTTTGTTTTGAATCTTATTCGGTAGTGACGTCGAGTACTGGTCGCGTGATTGGTCGGTAGTGCAGTGACGCGGATCTCGCCGTCTCGTTCGCGCTGCCGTTGAAACTTAACTGTTTGGTTCGGGTCGGTAATGCAGTGACGCGGATCTCGCCGTCCCGTTCGCGCTGCCGTGGGATCAGTTTTTGTTTGATGCAAGTATGAGCGTACCGTATCTACCCTTTTTGTTTTAATCTAAGGCTATTAGTGTCCCCACTACGCAGGCCTTCAATACGAATGGAATAAGGAGATTGGGCTACCCACCACGCAGGCTCAGCCCGGATTGGTGAATGCTAATGACTGCATAGCCGGGACTAATAGCTTAACGTGTCCTTCAAAGAAGAGCTTGATGTAATGAAATGAAATGAAAAGTCTCTTATTCAGTCTAGGCTGTTACAAGCACTTGTGAAGGTCAAGAAGCTACGCCATCGGTTCGCAAAACTACGGCGGGAGACCTTGTACTGAGAAGAACCGGCAAGAAACTCAGCAAAGGCTGCTTTTTTCTCCCTGTATTGATATATACAGAGTCATCGAGTTGACGTCTCCGTATATATATATATATAACTATATATATATATATATATATATATATAGTTATCTTTATATATATAATTCTTCTGTGAGTGTGTATGTCACTGAACTTCTCTTAAACGACTGGACCGATTTAGATGAAATTTTTTGTGTGTGTTCAAGGGGATCTGAGAATGGTTTAGATTCACAATTTTGTCCGCTGGACAACCCCTAAAAAAATTTAATTAAAAAAACATTGTCCAGCGGACAAAATTGTGAATCTAAACCATTCTCAGATCCCCTTGAACACACACAAAAAATTTCATCAAAATCGGTCCAGTCGTTTAAGAGAAGTTCAGTGACATACACACTCACAGAAGAATTATATATATAAAGATATAGTAATGCATTAAATAAAATGTGTGGAGTATATCACTCATTATATGTATATTATTATTGTTCTATTTATATCAGTACCGATTGTAACTGATACAAGACTGATTTCGGATACTCCTCCACCGTGTATATACTGGGCGTCATTTGAAATTCGCACACAAAATTTTTATTCTATTTAAATTTTCCATCGGCTTCCGCTCGCCATTCGGGAATATCTTACATAATTATATTGTCTACAACAGTTTTTATGAAAAATATATTATGTAGAAGGCAAAGATTGTGACGCACGAATTTTACATTAGGACATAAACATCAATCGGAGGGGTTCGTTCTGTAAATTTAAAGAAAAAGCCTGTAATTTTATTTAATGTAGGTATGCATTTTGCTGATAAATTTATACCGGCCAAGTACGAGTCGAACTAGCGCACCGAGGGTTCTGTACAAACCTGTAGGTAGGGCTGCCATCCGTCCGGGTTTCCCCGGATTTGTCCTAGTTTACGGGGCGTCCGGGGAGCGTCCGGGCGGGGTTTCATTTGTCGTCCGGGTTTAAAAATTTCCTGTTTTGGGTTGCCAATTAATCCGTCAATTTAAATGTCTTTGAAAATGGATAAATCTATTCTAACACTGTAACCATAAATGCAGACTTCCAACATAGATCAGCTTTCCTTGGTGCTGCAAGTGTCCATGGGCAGCAGTGACCACTTATTATGAGGTAGACCGCTAGCTCTTTGTGACATTTTTAACTGTTTTTTTATTGGTCTGTCCGGGTTCTGGGCTCCAAAATCCGGGGTTATCACGCCTCTGATCCTGGTTGCCACATTTTAGAGATGGCAGCCCTACCTGTAGGTATATTTACGGTTTTCGCAATTTTTCCTTTATCTGTCCCATAAGACCTTACTTCGTACCTACCAAATTTCAAGATTCTTAGTTGCGTCTTTCGAAAAATTGCAGAAATTTGCGGTATAAACGGCTACATCTTTTGATTGCGTTGACTTAGAAGTTTGATTTTTTTCATAACTCCTGACTGACAGTAGACCTGGGTATTTGATATAAATTTCAGCTCGATACCTCTACGCGTTCCTGAGAAAAAGAGTCTTGACAGACGGACGGTCGGACAACAAAGTGATCCTTTAAGGGTTCCGTTTTTTCCTTTCGAGGTACGGAAC